GGTATTAGTCCTTTCTTGAATATGCGAATGCAAATATTTTCTCCCAGTCTGTAGTTTGTCTTTTCGTCTGCTTAACATGAAGTAAAAGGCTTTAAAATTTTTTTTTAAAGTTTATTTATTTATTTTGAGAGAGACAGAGAGAACCCATGCACTTGCAAGCAGGAGGAGGAGGAGGAGGAGGAGAGAGAGAGAGAGAGAGAGAGAGAGGGAATCCCAAGCAGGCTCCGCACTGTCAGCACAGAGCCTCATACGGGGCTCGAACTCACAAACCGTGAGATCATGACCTGAGCCAAAACCAAGTGTCAGACGCTTCACTGACCAAGCCACCCAGGTGCTCCTTTTAAGTTTTTATGAAGTCCACTTTACCCGATTTTCCTTCTATGGATCGTGCTTTTGTTGTCACATGTAACCCTGGAAGTCTGTTCACGCTTTGTTTTGTTTTTATTTTTTAATTTATTTTTTAGGGGCATTTGGGTGGCTCAGTCGATTAAGCGTCCGACTTCAGCTCGGGTCATGATCTCATGGGTTCGTGAGTTCAAGCCCCACATGGGGCTGTCTGTTATCAGCATGGAGCCCTCTTCGGATCCTCTACCCCCCTCTCTCTGCCCCTCCCCAGCTCGCTCTTTCTCTCTCTCAAAATATGTCAATAAACTTTAACAGAAAGTAATTTATTTTTTAAGGATGATTTTACCGTTTTCATTTCACTTTTTATTTTTGTAAGTAGGCTCCACGCCCAACGTGCGGCTTGAACTCATGACCTCAGAGTCGCATGCTCCACTGACTGAGCCAGTCAGGCCCTCCAAAGTCTGTGCCTTTTTATTTTCAGTTTAATTTTTCTGTCTGCTGAGCCCTCCCACTGAGCTTTTCTACTTCAGTTATGGTCTCTTTCAGTTCTAACTTTTACATTTGATTGCTTTATATCTTTCATTTCTTTGCTGAAACTTTCTTCTTTTTGCCGAGGTGTATATTTCTACAGTTGTTCCAAGTGTACCTGTAATTGCTCACGGAAGCATTTTTATGATGGCTGCTTTACAACCTTTGTCAAATCATTGCAGGTCCCTGTCACCTCAGTGTTGGCATCTATTTTTTTTATTATTATTTATTTATTTTTGAGAGAGAGAGAGAGAGAGAGAGAGAGAGAGAGCCCAAGCTGTGGAAGGGCAAAGAGAGAGAGGGACACAGAAGCATCTGAAGCAGGCTCCAGGCCCCAAGCCATCAGTGAAGAGCCTGACTCAGAGCTCAAACTCATGAACCATGAGATCGTGTTCTGAGCCCAAGTCGGACGTTTAACCGACTGAGCCACTCAGGTGCCCCTAGTGTTGGCATCTGTTGATCATTTTTCATTCAGTTTGATGTCAACCTTAATGTGATGAGTGATCTTTGATTGAAAGCAGGACAGTTCGGGGGCACCTGGATGGCTCAGTTCGTGGAGCATCGGACTCTTGATTTTTGTCTCAGGCTGTGATCTCGTGGTTCGTGGGATCAAGCCCCACATCAGGCTCTGTGCTGACAGTGCGGAGCCTGCTTAGGATTCTCTCTCTCCTTCTCTCTCTGCCCCTCCCCTGCTTGTGCTCTCTCTCTCAAAATAAATGAACCTTAAAGGAAAAAGATTAAAAAAAAAAAAAGAAGAAAGTGGGGCATTTTCTATGCCGTAGGGCTCTGGGTCTTACTTAAACCTCTTTGTGGGCTTTTTCTGATGAGGAAGGGGGTGGATGCTCCCTCATTTCTTCCAGGTGCAAATAGAAGTCCAGCTTCCCCACTCTGTCTGATTTGACACTGACAGAGGAGGAAGGGTCCCCCTTACTGACGAGTGAGGGGTGGGACTATCAGCTCCCCACATGGTCTCATAACACTACAGTGGGGGCTCCCGTCACACTGGTGATGGTGAAAGTGCCGAGTGTCTGCCAGGCCTCCTTGTGTTTAGAGAACCTTCCTTTAGCCACTCTTTTAGGGGAGGATGCCGACAACGAGTTCTTTGAGTTTTCCTTCCCTGAGAATGTCTTGACTTCCCTTTCATTCCTGGAGGTATCTTTTGCCGAGTATAGGATTCTGGGTGGGCAGTTCTCCTGCAGCACCTGGGACACCATCCCGGTGGGGAGATGAAGGGGACCTCCTTCCTTCTGGGCTGGGGGGAAAGTCCAGTCTCCGCTGGCATCACGGGCTGGGGGGACTGTGTTACCACACAACAGGGCTGAATGCGCCAGCTCCTTGCTTGGCCGTCTGAGACACCGCCCTGGCAGGGAGGCTGGGGCCCTGCGTCACAGCCTGGGGAAGGTGGAAGTCCTGGCTCCCCAGGTGACCACAGGCTTTTCTGTGGTGTTTGGCTTGAGTGGGCAGTTATCGCCTATACATTTTCTGTCTTGCTAGACTTCCTCTTTCCTGGCCCTTGGCTAGAGCGAGCAGGCTTTTGTCGGGGCTTTTTCCTCTGCATCTGGCTGCATTTCCTTATTGCTGACTTCTTCAGCTCCAGGAATGGGGTATATGGGGTGAAAAGAAACCTGACAGAACTCACCACTTCCTTGGGTCATGAGGGCTTTAGCCACTTTGCCTTCTCTCCACCTTCCAGAATCTTCTAATGCTTCTTTTGTACATAACGTCCAGGGTTTCTTGTACTTCGCGGGAGCAATAGGAAAAAACGTACGTGTGCTGCATCTCCCAGAAGCCCATCCCTTTGTTTTCCGTTATACTTAAAGCTGTCGCAGAGTCCTTCTATATAAAGCTTTTGCCATGTACGGGGTGGATTCTCAGAAGTAAAGTCAGTCGGCCAAAGGGTCTGGACATTTTTGTGACACTTAACATATGCTTACGTATATACACTTAAAAGATTGTACCTGTTCACACTCCCTCCTGCAGCGTCTCACCTTTTAAGAGTAATGTTAGCTTCAAAGTGGCACCGAACGGGCTGTGTGCCTGCTTGAGACCTTTGGTGAACTAATGGCAGCCTGCCAACCCGCAGGTGGATTTTTCCACTCAAGCTCATCTACCGCCTCCGCCGAAAAGCCAGAGGGTGGTGGTGATGATGGGCTTCCGCGAGGACCCGGAGAGAACGCCACAGGGAGACAAGGGCACGAGTATGCGGGGCTGCATGCCGGTTTTCCTGACAGTGACTATATTCTTAGGGAACGTTTTAACATAAGTGTCTAAATACAAGAGCCATCACAAGCAAGGTGATGAAGTCATGTGTTGTATGGTCAGGAATGAGATGGACACTTAGGGGTGATGAACGGGGAAGGAATGAATTTTAAGTGTATTTATTTTGAGAGAGAGAGCGCGCGCTCAGGGGAGGGGCAGAGAGAGAGAGAGAGAGAGAGAGAGAGAGAGAGAGAGAGAGATTGGGAATCCCAAGCAGTCTCTGTGCTGTCAGCACAGAGCCCGATGCAGGGCTCAAACGCGCAACCTTGTGAGATCATGACCCGAGCCGAAACTAAGACTCGGACACTCAAGTGACTGAGCCACCCAGGTGCCCCACATAATATGATTTTAGTGCTGGGTAGACACAGATGGTCCTGCAACAGCTCTGTTGTGGCTGACTGTGGGCTCCGTGCCAGGGGAGGTGATGTGTGTGTTTCATGGGGATCACGGATCCAGTCACTTATGGTCAGGGAGTAGCTGGAAGAGAGCAGCCGCTGACAGCTGATAGGTGCTTTCTGACTGCATTCGTGAAGGGTCATGAGATGTGGAAGACCCAAATTAACAGAGAGATCGTCAGATTATTTGTTTGCCTTTGGAATCGTTTGAATACAGTGCTACCTGAGGTGCCCTTCTCTGGCCCAGAGCTTTTGTTTATTTGGGCCATTTTGGAGCATGGCCTTGTCGCCGGGGACTTCTCCCCCTGTTCCATTATGTTGACATTTCCATCCACAAAGCATTTAGTGCAGGGGTGACAAGAGGGTTTAAGACTTGGTCCTTGACCTCTTGGAAGGCCGGTTTCTGAAATTCGGAACCTTGGGTATAGGACCTTGGTCACATGCCCTAACTACTATGGGCCTCAGTTTCCTTTTCTGTGTCTCTTTACGGGGTTATTTTGATGCTTACGTAAGTTAATGTATGTGAAAAGACTCTAATATTAAAATTCCATACTCTGTAGGGGCACCTGGGTGGCTCAGTAGGTTAAGCGTCCGACTCTTCATTTTGGCTCAGGTCATGATCTCACGGTTCATGAGTTCGAGCCCCACATCGGGCTCTGTGCTGACCACATGGAGTCTGCCTGGGATTCTCTCTCTCCCTCTCTCTCTGCCCCTCCTCCGCTGTCTCTCAAAAGAAACAAACAAACAAACTTTTAAAAATTTATAAAAAAAATTCCCTACTCTGTAAAAAGTAAAATAAGGGTTCAATTCATTGGTGTTTTGAGTTGTTCCTTCCTTCCTTCCTTCCTTCCTTCCTTCCTTCCTTCCTTCCTCCCTTCCTTCCTTCCTTCCTTCCTCCTTCCTTCCCTCACTCACATATTTATCAAGTGTCAGCACAAATGAAAGAATGGAGCCATGCTCTGGAAATCTACTCTAGGAAGAGCTAGGAAGCCAGGACTGTGTGCCAGTCCTTCCTGTCCAACACATCCCTCCATCAGTATTTGCCTGGGGTGGATATATGCTCTCTTCTGGGGAACAGGGAGATGGTTGAATGTAGGTTTCAAAGACCCTTGAATCAAAACTTAACTTGCCAAGCCTGAGAAATGAACACTGTTGGAATAAACGAAGTCCTGCAGACTAATAGGTCCCCAGAAAGTAAGTAACTCACCAGGCTCGGGTGTCCTCATAAACTCAAGGGCAAGATTTGCAGGGGACAAGCTACAGATGGTTCAAGCATCCTGGCTGTCCCAGAATTCAGTGGCCTGTATTCTCTCCCAAGAGTGGCTGCCTCTAACTCACTGTGAAGAGCTCCCTGCTGGATTTTGCCCTCCTCCGTTTGAATCCTGTCTAGCCCCACTCATGCTCACAGAAAGTCTCTTTGTGGTACAGTGGAGTTAGTGGCATGGATGTGCATTCTTGGTTTTGAACTTGCAGGTGGGCGCCCTCCCCCGACTGTGTGATGTGCTCCAGGTGCTTCGGGAGGAACGGGACCAGTGCCTGCAGGAACTCTCCAAAGAGAAGCAGGGAGACCCGGGTGTGGAGCAGCCGGCCCCAGGTATGTGGCTTACTTTAGTCCACTCTTGGACATGCATTGTGTCCAAACCCACTGCGGTACGGGAGGCGGGGCCAGCTTGGGGACGCAGGGGACGGGACTGGCTGTACTCATTCAGACAATCAGCTGGGGAGAAGGGTCGGGAGTGATCCTGGTGAGCGGTTGACTCACACCCAAGAAGCCACACCAACACCACTCACCGTTTCTCTGGGCTTGTGGATACGGCCTGTGTTTTCATTCCACCAACTTCTGCATCATGACTTCACCAAGGGAAGAGTTTGGTGAGAATTACAAGTCAAGGAAGTGTGCCTCTTACCCATTCTTTCGCCTCCTCTGACAAGTTTGATGTGTGAGGTAGTCAGAGAGGCAGAGAGGGGTCAGAAAAACCTGGGGTCCAAAGTTGGCTCACACTCGCTGGCTGTGCAACCATGGACAAGTTATTTAACCTTCTGAGCCTTGGTTTCTTGATCTATACAATGGAGGTGATAATGTCTACTTTGGATTATGATGATAAATGAGATAAAGTATGTTAAATACTAGTGATTCTTAAGTATTATTAATGTAAACATTATTATCATTAATCATTTAAAAATACCATTAACTTGATATTTTATATGTTAATTTTATTTTTATTCTGTTTTTTAAGTTTCCCTCTTCTAAGGATAAGGAAGGGTATAGTATTAAGAAAAGAATCCATTATAGGTCTTCAAACAAAGACTTGTACATGCATATTCATAGCACAACTAGTCTCAATGGCCAAGAGGCAGAAACAATCAAGTGTCCATGGACTGATGAATGGAGAAAAAAATGTGGTGTATACACACAATGGAACATTATTGAGTCTTAAAAAGAAATGATGGGTTGATACATGCTACAACATGGATGCATCTTGAAAACAAGTTAAGTGAAGAAAGCCAGTTACAGAAGACCGTGGATTGTATGATTCCATTTATATGAAATGTCCAGATCGGGCAATCCATACAGACAGAAATTAGATTAGTAGTTGCCTGGGGCCAAGGGGAGGGGGAATGGGGAGTAACTGCTAAGCAGTTCCCTTTTGGTGGTGGTGAAAATATCTTAGATCTAGATAGAGGTAATGGTTGCATGATACTATGAATGAGTTGAACAACCGCTGAATTGTACCACTTTAGAATGGATAATGGTTAATTTTATGATGTATGAATTTTTATTTTTATTTATTTATTTTTTTAAGTTTATTTATTTGGAGGGAGAGAGCAGCAGGAGAGGGGCAGAGAGAGAAGGAGAGAGAGGCTCCAAAGCAGGCTCCACACTGTCGGAGTGGAGCCCAATGTGGGGCTTGAACTCACGAACTACGAGATCATGCCCTGAGGCGAAATCAAGCGTCAGCCGCTTCAGCGACTGAGCCATCCAGGCACTCCAAGGGTTGTATGAATTTTCAAATGTACTTTATTTTTTAGAGCAATTCACTGCAAAATTGAAAAGAAAGTGCAGAGTTCCCATACACTCTCTGCTCCCCACTCAAACACACAGCCTCTTCCCCCATTAACATCCTGTACCAGAGTGATGACGCTTGTTATAATCGTTGAACCTGCATTGACACGACATTATCACCCAAAGCCCATAGTTCACATGAGGATTCACTCTTGGTGTACATTCTGTGGGTCTTGACAAATGTATGACATGTGTCCACCATTAGAGTATTTTCTGTGCCCTAAAAATGCTCTGTGCTCCACCTATCTGTCCCTTTCTCTCCCCTAACCCTTAGCAATCACTGATCTTTTTATTGTCTCCATACTTTTGCCTTTTCTAGAACATTGTATAGGTGGAATCCTACAGTAGTATGTAGCCTTTTCAGATTGGCTTCCTTCACTTAGCCATATGCATTTAAGTTTTTCTCCGCTTCTTTTCATGTCTTGATAGCACGTTTCTTCTTTTTTTTTAATTTTTTTTTTTTAACATTTATTTATTTTTGAGACAGAGAGAGACAGAGCATGAACGGGGGAGGGTCAGAGAGAGAGGGAGACACAGAATCGGAAACAGGCTCCAGGCTCTGAGCCATCAGCCCAGAGCCCGACGCGGGGCTCGAACTCATGGACCACGAGATCGTGACCTGAGCCGAAGTCGGACGCTTAACCGACTGAGCCACCCAGGCGCCCCGCACGTTTCTTCTTAAAGTAGAGTAATATTCCATTGTCTGGATGTAGCACAGTTTACCCGTTCACTTACTGGAGGACATCTTGGTCGCTTCCGCATTTCGATAGTTGTAAATAAAGCTGCTGGGTGTGGACACAAGTTCTCAACTCGTTTGGATAAATACCCAAGAGCTTGATTGCTGGCTCATGTGGTAAGAGTACGTTCAGTTTTGTGAGAAACTGCCGAACCGTCTTCCAAAGCGGCAGTGCGGTTCTGCGTTCCGCGAGCAATGCAGGAGAGTTCCTGTTGCTCCACATCCTTGCCAGCTTTTGGTGTTGTCAGTGTTTTTTGTTGTTGTTGTTGTCTTTTTCTTCTTAACTGTGGTAAAAATACATATAACATAAGATTTACTGTCGTAATCAGTTTTAAATTTAAAACATCTAAACTTCAGTGGAAAACGCGTAACATGAAATTTACCATCTGAATCGTTTCTAAAGGTACAGTTGGGGTGGTGTTGAGTACATTCACCGTGTTGGGCATCCAGTCTCCAAAACGGTTCATCCCGCCAAACTGAAACTCTATACTCATTAGAACAACAGCTTCCTTTCTCTCCCTTCCCTCAGCCCCTGACAGCCCCCATTCTACTTTCTGTTTCTATGAATTTGACTACTCTACGTACCGCACGTAAGTGGAATCATACAGCGTTTGTCTTCTGGCAATTGGTTTATTTCACTTAGCATCATGTCCTCAAGATTCATCAAGGTTGTAGCCTATGGCAGAATTTCCACATTTTGGGAATCCATTCATTCCTGAAAGGACACCGGACTTGCTTCCGTCTTTTATCTGTGGTGAATAATGGTACTCTGAACGTGAGTGTGCACGTATCTATCTCTTCAAGTTTCTGCCTTCCATTCTTTTGGGTGTATACCCACAAGTGAAATTGCAGGATTGTGCGGTAATTCTATTTTTCATTGTTCCTGGGTCCCGTTTACCGTGTTTTTCCATAGTAGCTGTACTGTTTCACATTCTTACCAGCAGCACACAGGAGTTCCAATTTCTCCACATCTTCACCAACACCTGTTACTTGGTTGTTTTGGGTTTTTTTAGTAATTTTTTTTAATGTTTATTTATTTTTGAGAGAGAGACAGAATGTGAGCAGGGGAGGGGCAGAGAGAGAGGGAGACACAGAAGCAGGCTCCAGGCTCTGAGCTGTTAACACAGAGCCTGACGCAGGGCTTGAACCCACGGACTGTGAGATCATAACCTGAGCCGAAGTCGGATGCTTAACTGACTGAGCCACCCAGGCACCCCGTCACTTGGCTGTTTTTTGATGATAGCCATCCTAATGGATGTGAGGTGATATCTCATTGTGGTTTTGATCCGCATTTCCCTAACAATTAGTGATGTTGAGCATCTTTTTTATGTGCTGGTTGGCCTTTTGTATATATTCTTTGAAGAAATGTTTATTTCAGTCCTTTGCCCATTTAAAAATACGGTTGTTGTTGTTTTTTTGCCAGTGAATTATAGGAGTTCTTTATATATTCTGGGTCTTACCCCCTTATCGAATATATGATTTGTAAATAATCTCTCCCATCGTGTAGGATGCCTTTTCATTCCGTTGTTTGTGTCCTTGGATGCACAGAAGTTTTTAGGTTTGATATAGTTGGCTGCATCTAGTTTTTACTTTTGTTGCCTGTGTTTTTGATGTCATAGCCAACAAATGATTGCTAAATGTAATCTCAGGAAGCTTTTCCCATATGTTTTATCCTAAGATTTGTGTATAGTTTTAGCTCTTACATTTAGGTCCTTGGTCCTTTTTGAGTTCATCTTTGTATAGGATGTCCACCTTCGTCCTTTTTTTTTTTTTAATGTTTGTTTGTTTGTTTATTTATTTATTTATTTATTTATTTTGAGAGAGAGTGAGCGCCCGCATGTGCGCGTGCCTTCTCTTGGGGGAGGGCAGAGAGAGAGAGGGGGAGAGGGAGAGGATCTCAAGCAGGCTCTGTGCTGTCCATGCGGAGCCCAACATGGGGCTGGATCTCATGAACCGTGAGATCATGACCTGAGCAGAAAGTAAGAGTCGGATGCTTAACTGACTGAGCCACTCAGGCGCCCCAGAACGGCTAGAACTTTAACAGATATATGCACGGCTCACCTGAAGAGTTTCCCATCTTTTCCTAAGGGGTTCAAGTTGGCGCTCTTTGCCACCACTGGGTACTGAGGGACGGGGTGGACAGAGTAAGGAAGGGGTGTAGTGCCTTGCAAACAGGACAGGGAATCAGAACGCCTTTCAATGGTGATAACTGGCAGTTCATGCTGGGGTGGGGTTGGCAGCTTTATCACTTGGAGTCCCCTTGGGGGCATTTTAGGAGCCAGCACAGAATACACACCTCAAAGTGGCAGAGGATCTGGGATATTTATCCACCAACGCCCCATCAGTCAGAACCTGGGCTGTTTCTGGGGAGGGTGCATGGATTCCCCCTCATTTCCCTTTGCCTGCTGTCCTTGGGGGGAAAGTGGGCTCCAGCAACTGGAGAAAGCCTTCAGACAAAGGGATCCAGGGGCTAGCATTTGAAAGTGAGGTTGGGGGGGCGTCTGGGTGGCTGAGTCAGTTAAGCCTCTGACTTCGGCTCAGGATATGATCTCACCGTTGGTGGGTTCAAGACCCACGCTGGGCTCCACACTGACAGTGCGGAGTCTGCTTAGGGTTTTCTCTTTCGCCCTCTCTCAGCCCCTCCCCAACTCACACACACACTCTCTCTCAAAATAAATAAATACATTCAAAAAAAAGGGAAGAAAGACAACGAGGTTATTGTGTGCAGGAGAGGTAGACCAAGGAGATAGATAGGAGAGCAAGGTCTTCTCCCGAGGGAGGTGGAGGTGGAAAG